CCGACGCGGGCCTGCTCATGCAGTCGTTGGAGCCGCCGCGCCAGTCCGAGATACCAGACGAGCCGATGAGCGACACGCCAATTATCATACTGACCGTGCCGGTAACAATTGGCAGTAAGCTCATTTGCAGGATTCGAGGCGGGATGAAGAACATGAATATTTCGAGGAAGGAGCAATATTCGACGTTACTAACACCAGGTCGTAGGCGTCTGGACATGGACCGCGCGTGATGGTGCCATCGGCGTTGGTGATCGAGGGGCAGGCGCAAAGATGATCGGCGGCGCGGTGAGCCCCGCGAGCATCGCCAGCGGACGCTGCAGACCGCACGCGAGCGCAAACACGAGTGGCAGGTCCGAGTCCAGCGCGCAGAACGGCGGCGTCGTCTTCCGCTTCTTCCAGTCGAACGCACACGGCAGCGTCGGAGCGCAGAACGGCGGCGTCGTCTTCCGCTTCTTCCAGTCGAACGCACACGGCAGCGTCGGCGCGCAGAACCACGCGTAGTCGTAATCGCCGAATTAGCTTTCCTTCGTGGTGGGCTTGTGTGCGAGACGGTCGAGCCGCGCTCGCACTCTGCTCGTGCGACCTGCTTCATGCAGCGATGGAGATGGCACCCGACCGGGCTGCTCCTTGGTGATGGAGTGGTGATCAGACACGGCTCCAAGCGAGCGGTCTGCGCTGGGGTCCAAGGCGAGAGGTACGGGTGTTCCCAGGGATAAATAGTCGGTGGTTGAAGGCAGAGGCGGGGCCCATGAAGGGAGTCATGGGGTGCCTTCGACGCATTTATTAGAGCGTTGGTGGACGAGCAGAGTTGCTCTTGTGCGCGGTCCAATGATGTTATCTCTGGTGGTGGCGGCATGATAGCTTGCCTGGAAATATTTTCTGGCTGTCCTCATTGCGGCTGGTCAAAGTCGAAGCTGCACTCTCCTGGGAAACAGTTGCGATAAGGGAGAGTTCAAGAATAACGTTTGGTCCACGTGACAGGAGAGTAGGAGCACGTGAGAGACGCGCCGCGCAGATATCGCGAATGATTGGCCTATTACGAATTCAAATAGTATACATAGAATACAAAATACAAGAAGTTCGTCAGAACCAGGAAAAGATGACGAAGGCGATCAGACCTCACCCTCCTCTTCGACGACGTCCATCTCCTCGTCTGGCTCCGGTCCATCGCGCTCGCCATTCCGCCCACCCATCTCCATCATCTTCGTGACGCCGTAACGATGGGTTCAAAGACGCTCTTGTAGGTCTCGTCGGTGATGCCGTCCTTCAATGGGATATTGACAGCGTATCTTTTGCTCTTGCCGCGGCATCGGTCTTCTTGGGTGCCGGTACCTGGGAAGTACTCGCTGAACTTGTGGAATGAGCAAGTCATGGCGCGGTCGGGGATGTAGAGAGCTTCTTCGACGCCGCCGCTGTGACGACAGTCGATGTCGATGTAGAGTACTCTTGGTGAGATCGAAGAAGTTCAAGAATGCCGAGGACGATGTTGTTGACGTAGCAGAAGCCAGATGCTTCGCGTGTCTTCGCGTGATGCAAACCGCCGGCTTGCTTGATTGCGATATTGACGGCACCGGATGTGAGACGTGTTGCAACCTCCATTTCACGTCACTGACTATGACGGAAACCGACAATCAGAGTACGCACCTACAGAACCCCTAGCAGACAGCGAACATAACTCGAATAAGCCACCCCACGCCGGATTGTCGTCGCACACCAGAACTTTGTACGATACTCTCAGCATATCTGCGCATGATAATATGTGTAAAACACTTACAACGAGTTCCGTGGTATGCGGGATCCTCTGCTGCCTCTGGAGATACTCTAGGAAGTGCACATATTCGTCGGTGTGAAATCGGGTCATTTCTTCGGCGGTGGCTGGTTTTGCTCTCTAATTATGCGACATCAGCTCGGTATCAGCCTAGAAACCGCGCAATGTACCATTCCATGCACCGAAACCAGCTCATGGGTTACCTCATCCTCTGGAGCTTCACAGGCCAGAGACCGTAAGTGTACTCCTCGACATCAGCTGGCCTTCAGAATGAGCATCAGGGGGAGACACGTGCGCGTGAGCATTGGCACTTACAGCGGCAGTATTACGCCACTCGTTGCTTCGACATGAAGGAGACGTAAAGAGCTGTGGAGAGAAGCAAAGGCCGAGCGAACAGCATGAAGCGCGCCGCGGCGGGGTGCAATCCTTCCACTGTCCGCAAAAGGAAGGCATCGAAGTTGGATTTGTTCTGGTGTTCTGCGTACTGGGATGGCTCCTGCGTTGCAGGGTAACAGCACTCAACGCAACACCGAAAACCACGGTGATCAAGCGCTGACTCATCTTTCGCTGCGCAGCTCTGGCAGGCGTCCGTTCGAGGACCGAGACGTAGCGAGACGGGCATCAGCAGAGGCTGAACCTTGTATATGCGGCTACGCTTGGTGGCGACCCGTGTCACACCGTCCACGCTGAAGTCACGGCAACGAACATGATACATGAGAGCGTATTTAGTTTCCCAGGCAAGCTTGCCCCCGCGCATAAGATCTCAAACTCGACAATGGCTCAGCTGTATCCGGCAAAGCCTACTCGAGTAGCCAACGCGGAACGTCGCAAAGAAGGCGTTAAAAACTTGGCATTGTGAGAACTAGAGCCTATAGATAGTGTGTGCGTGAAACACATATCTCGTAAAAGTAAGCTGGCGATGATGTCGACAAGTCAGCTGCGAGCGAGGTAGAGCTGGAAGCAGGGACAAACCTAAGATCATTCCTCGTCGCCCAACGGCGTCCTGGCTCCACCAAATACCCGGCCGTCGACATTCTCGTCTTCACGTTGTCCCAAAGGTGGAGGCAGTGCCTTGCGGGCCCATTTGACTTGGCGTGCTGGGCGTCGGCGCGCTAGCTGGCCTGGTCCCTGGCTGGCTGGTGCTATCACAGTCTGCATATTCGAACCCTCAGTCGGCATATTCCAGAGGCTCGGGCGGCGGGAGTAACGCAGGGACCTAGCTGTCGGTGTAATCGAGCGGCAGAAGCGCGAGAAGTCCTTCTTTGTTTGGGACATAGTTGAGCTGGAAACGGAGAACGCGTCCATCGTGTCGCGTATGGACAGCACGTCTTCAACCGCGTCTTTAACGGCCACCGTTGGTCTGGAGAAGTCCATCTTGGCCGCGGCGCACGAGAACATTGTACATGCGCGTGGAGCGCTTCAGGTTCGGGGTTGTAGGGAGCCATGCGTAGAAAGATGTGCGAGGTCACGGAGAGTACACACGGGCGCAGCTGGACTTCGTCACTTGCTCACGTCGCTGTAGTCTTGATTCTTGGGTGTCAGATTGAGGGATATCGTGACATGCATGGAGGCGCCACATTCGGGTGTCATTCTATTAATTCTCAGATAGCGATCGACCGAGAGTAAGCATGTATGCGCACCTGGGCCTGAGTCTCACGATCTACCGTTAACCAACGACCTCCCTTCCTTGTTCGTGCCCCGAAATACGAACTACGGCCAATCCGTTCGACTGCTACACCATTACAAGGGGCACTGAACAGTCAATAACTCAGTAAAAAGGTTCTAGAAGAGGCATAAGAGTAGATACACTAACTTTGCAGCCGGGATACGACGGCAGTCCTTGGGGCTCAGAAAGGGTCGGTCGAGCAGTCGAAGTGTCCGCGGCTCAAGTCAAGAAGGGGCAGTTGGAGCAGGGGCACAATACGTGTTATAGTCAAGGTGCATCAAGTAAAAGCCGTATTCGGCGAACTGCTGTAGAGCAGAGGTAGACTCGTGATGGTCGTGGACGAAGAGAGCCAGAGGTCGGCGCGCCCGCCGCCCAGGCACGGCCGGCGCTCCGAGCTCGAGCTCTTTCTTCCGCGACTCGTCTGCATTTGCTCTCCTACCAGTGCGTTTCTTACTTGGCTTGGACTGTTGCAACCAGATCCACGAACATTGCAGCGATTGAGTAGAACGGCCAATTAGACACTACGCCTTTTCATATGTGAAGGTCCCTACGGGCGACAAAGGCCAGTGCAAGGACCTCGACGCCGTCAATCAAGACGTTTCTAGCGAGACCACGGGACACCTGTAAGCGCTGCCTCAGGCAATGCGTTGGAGCTGGTGCTGACGTGGACACGGCTCTCTGCGCAGGGTAGCTGATATCGGCGCTCTGCCGATGCCTCTCTCGTGTGTGTTCTGAGAGCTCAGCTGCCACAGAGACGTCATGCAGCGACTCTAGACCGGCATTGGCGAGGTCATGTCAGACGCGAACATCTTCGACAAGGGCGACTGCTTGAATTTTTGGCCAGCGAGTGCATGTGGGCTTATCCCTAGCCGATAAATACGACGCCAACACAGCCAATAGTTTTCCGCCTGTACGATACTGGCACGCCACCGCTGCTTGCACGCGTCGTGCACCCGTCATCTTCGCTGGTTGAACTCAGCTCGAAGCCACATTCGCGCCTGAGCTAACGCATCGCGTCGCCTGTACGCGCAGCACCACCGATCCTATCCAACGCGTACCGCAAGAGGTTTCGACATGGTGGAATTTTCGCTCGTGCCAAGCACAGCCGTCACTACGTCTCCTGAGCAGCGGGGATCTCCGAAGACGACCGCCCAGAACCAGAGCTCTAAGCAACCCTCTCCCCTCCTCGTTATCCAAACTACTGCCAGCTCATCCACCATTCACCAGTTTCCGCGTGGCGCCAAGGTGTTATTCACGCCCTTAGCGTCCGCTATCCAGTGAAAACGAGATTAATCCCGGAATGTCGTTGTTGTCGGACACTAGGGGTGCTACCTTGGCTGTCTATGGGCCCCAATCCGCGGACGCGACAAGTGAAGAGCCTCGACGGTGAGTGTTGGGCCTGCGTTCAACACTCATGCATTGCTGACATGCCTGGAATAGAACCACTCCGCAGGCCGTGCAGTCCGGCCCGCGCTATGCATTCAACCCGGCTAATACTCGCCAACGTCGTAGAAGCCCTACTCTCAAACCTGATGTGCGCGTCGTCTTCGTCAACGCCACGATTCTAGCCTCGTTCGACAGGCTGTGCAATCCGTACGAGATCTGGTAGGAAATTTCTCGGACTATCAGCGCGATTCTATGGTCGTGGGATCCGGAGATTAAACCCAGAGCACACGCCAGATGCCACAGGCGTGCTGCCGTGTAGATTTGGACCAAGTTTTACCGGGACAGACATTTTGCTTCGGTGCGTCTCATCCGTGTTCGTCTGTGCATCTTCATCGGTTTGCTGACTGGCTACTAGACTGCGGACACAAGCCAGGCCATGAGCAAGTCTCGCTTGCCAAGAATGAAGACGAAAGCTGCGATAGCAAGCCCGTGCCGCCGGACGAACGGGTCGAAGCGCACGACTGGCATGACAGACGGACCTAACACGCACGCTGTCTTCGATGCTCACACAAGCTCGCGCCCTTCACACGCATCCTTTGGTCGCAGCGGCTGCCCACCCGACTACGTCAAGACCACCGATGGCCTACAATCCCAGGTCTAACAGGGTCCCGAAGCAGCTGCCGGCGTCTTGTGAGTACCATCGGCGCGTATGTGCGTCGTACAGCCGCTGACGTACCCCCAGGGTTCTGAAATCTTTCCCTTTGGCCACCGCTCTCGCAGCTAGCGAACGGTGTTCTTGCCGGATTTGGCTCGCGCACGCTGCCTTCGTGACCAATCGCCTCCTCGGCTCTCACCCCGCCGACTACCCCGTGTACAACCTCCTCACCGTTCCTGATCTGCGTCGAGCCTTACGCACGCCTAGACGGCCTTCTCGCACTGCGCCTTCAGCGGGGCGGCTTCGTCAAGCATGGTCCCTGGACCTGTGTGCGCCTGGCCCGCCGACTTCCGCGCAACCGACTACATCCCGAGTTCTTTGGTTTTGCAAGCGCAGTCGCAGGACAAGTATACCGGTGCCAGTGCCTACCGACGATCAGGCGGGCCGGAGAGTTGAAGGTCTGCATCTCGCAGGGTGGACGCCTGGGAGCTCATTGCGATGGGAAGTGGCTTGGTGTTTATGCGCGAACAGAAACATCAGTGTAGACGGCAAACGGGCTAGCGGATGAGCGAGCTTGGGTGCTCGCCGGCCACAGCGTACGTCTGGGGTCATTTGTACATTGTGTGGGAAACTGACATCATCGTACAGTTGCGCAACAACTCTGTCGTGCTGCGTATGACAAGACAGCGGCTACTACATCAGTCATATACGATGGTAGTAGCTCTCTCAACGCGGACCGTGCTTCGTCTCGTGCTTTTGACCACGCTTTGTGTCTTACCTTATGATCCCAAGGGCTATTATCACAGTAATATCCAACTTGATTTGCTGTATTTTTATTTCGTGGTCTGATGGAGTTAATGCTCTGTGCAGGCCTACCGGCTCGAACTTGTTCTTTCATGTATTCGCCTCTGCATGGCGTTTAGATGCCATTCAACCAACTGACGTAGTGGTAAGGGGTCTCGGTGCCATAGCACTTACCGTTCCGGCATGTGCGACCCTCGGCGACGGTCCTTCCACTTTTCCAGCTACGTCGCATTTCGAGCTTTGGGATACATAAATCTCCCATATACGTTGTGAATTAGGTGATTCCATGTCCCTGATTTTCTGCACATTCAGTCGTATTCGCTCATGATGAAGCAGAAGCCATCCGCGCATGTGCTCTTTTGGAAAGCGGCTCGGGACTAGTTCGGGACCAGCTCGGGACTGAACTAGACTCGTGGCCAGCCTACTCGGTAGTTGGTGGGGCGCGTACCGAGGGTATATGGGTGGTCGGTACGCTGGAACCTGGCCGTTATTATGGCCAGGGTGGCTGGTATCGAGCCTAGGACTGAACGAAGAACGGTCCTATTGACCGTGTAAACTCAGATATTTTCTAGGTACAATTAATGTCAAACTCTCTGCACATCCTTCGGCCGATAAGACCTAGGCGTAAAGCGTCGCAGCATCGCGCGCAGCTCGAATCATTGATCTGTGTCCCAACCAATGCGATTCCTCGCTCAAGCTCACGTACAAAGCGATGCTTGTATTTCTTCTCTTGTGTATCGTCGGTATTTGCATTGACACAACACATCAGCTGTCTGCCCTGCCATTCGCGGCCTCAACGACCCGCGCCTGCCCGAATGCAGGCACATTCACGCTCAGCGCCCGTCGTGGTAGCCAATCGGCGCCCGCCGAACACAACTTCTCTGGCCCGTGACATAGTTCTTCGCATGATTTGGGCATGAGGCGGTGATACGGCCCCTTGATTGAACCACTCCGCCAGCAGCCAGCAGCCATGCGCCGTCTTAAACAGAAGTTACGGAGTGGCAAGGTCCCTGATGCTGCAGTCGGACATCTCAAGCAAGCTCTTGGTATTTTCAAGGATACCGCCGGTAGTCTTGGAGTACCGGGGTTGCAGATAGGTGTGAGCATCCTGTCGGCCGTGTTGGCGATGATCCAGGTATGCGCTACGTACCGTCTGCTCGATGAAGCTTCTGATATCAGAACTAGAAATCAAATGCGAACACCGAAAGTATCAATACACTGGCTACGCAGATCGGAGAATTGACGGCAATGGTGAAACGGAGCACGGAACTCCACGGTGGGATTATGCCTGCTCCGATGGGGGACAGAGTCAAACGATTACTGGAGTGAGTTTGCTGTTAGTGACTCAGGATCAAGTTACTAACGTCGCACAGGTCCTGGAAGTCGATCGACAACGAGGCTCAGAACATCAAGTCCCGGAAAAAGTTCCTGAGAGTGATAGAAAGTGAAGAGGAAGCAGGAAAGGTTGCTAGTCTGGTGAAAAAGATATTGTGGTCGATTCAGAGTTTTATAGTAAGCATTGTCTAGTACCTTTGGAGATGCGCCCCTCTTGTTGACATGCGGCCTTGAATCATAGGTCGAGGGCATGCTCGCGATCGAATTTGCGCTGGATGTATGTAGCAAACCTTTTCCATTTGCCCACGCAGATTTTGACATCAGACCAAAAAAGCATCAAGCCCGCATCAACGAGCAAAGCTCGCAGTATGCAGAGATGATGTTTGACGCTCTGCGGAGTGATAATCAAGTAAGTATTCTTCAGCGAGTGTACAGACCACGGCCTAACGGAAGATCCTATCCAGCGTTTGCAAATGCATTTTGAAGGTGCGCTTGAGGCATATCTTACGGCGGAGTCTTTGTTCTAATCCCCTGCATCTAGGAGGCTCCGTGCCGCCTTATGTGGTCCGGGCGCAATTCGACAGCCACCCCGAGCGCAAGGTTTGCCTCGATGGGACGCGTACCGATATGTTGGAAACCATCTTCAATTGGGCAGCCGGTCAGTCTATGCCTGGTGAAGCGGCCGAACCTGCCGAAGATCCTCAGGCTGCCGGCGACCAACCCAACGTCCTGTGGCTCAACGGGCTGCCCGGGTCCGGCAAGACAACGATAGCATGCTCCGTCGCACAACGTTGCCGTGCCAATCGTACCTTGGGAGCCAACTTCTTCTGTTCCCGATCGGATTCCGATTGCAGCAACGCGTCGCTGATATTCACGACAATCGCTTACCAACTCGGATTGTTCTACGAACCTTACAAGGACCAAGTGGCGGAGATACTCAAGAAGGACCCTCAACTAGCGTACTCTGGAGTCCCCCGTCAATTCGAGGAGCTGATAGTACAGCCCCTGGCGCACCTCCGTGAAGGCTTCCCTCCATGTGTCATAGTAATCGACGCACTCGACGAGTGTCGAGACCCCCAGGTCACGTCCGCAGTGCTATCGACTCTGCTGAATCATGCAGAGGATCTCTCCCCTCTCCGATTCTTCGTCACCAGCCGGCCTGAACGGCATATCGCCGCCAGATTCGATGCTCCCGGCTACCGCAACGCGTCTGGCCGCCTCCTCCTCCATGAAGTCGCACTAGAGTGTGTCACCACGGACATCAAGAAGTACTTCACGGTATCCCTGTCGGAGCTCAGACTGTTTTTCAACTTGGCGGAGTCCTGGCCCAACGAGGCCGATATCGAGGTACTCAGTCGGATGGCCAACGGCCTGTTCATCTTTGCTGCGACGGCCATCAAGTTCATTGGGGACCCGAACTATAACGATCCAATTGGACAAATGAAGATTCTCACGTCTGCTGCAGGTTCGCATGGCTTCCACCGGCTGCTCGATAAGCTATACTTGCAGGTGCTCGATGCCGCCTCTCCCAACATGTCGACGAGCCTGCTGGGTCGACTCAAGGCTGTCCTTGGCTCGATCGCCGTCATCAAGGACCCCCTTCCCCCGTCCGGCCTGTCGCATCTACTTGGACTCCCCACTGACACTGTGTACAGCTCCCTCGTCGGCCTTCACTCCGTCCTCGTCGTACCGGCCGCTCAAGAGTCTGCGGCGAACATCTGCGTCATTCATCCGACATTCCCCGAGTTCCTGCTTGACCCGAGCCGCTGCACGAGCCGTTCATTTGTTGTCAACTCGCAGCGGCAGACACGCTGCTGCTACATAGGTGCCTTGACGCACTGAAAGGGCTGAAGCGAGACATCTGCGGCATCCGAGACCCTTCGCTGCTCAATGTCGAGGTTCCCGGCCTGCTGAGCCGGATAGAGAGTGCGATCCCGGCACACCTGCGATATGCATGTCGGCACTGGTGCACTCATCTACTGAACTGCGAGCTGTCGGATGAGATCCTGGACGAACTCTTTGCACTTGTTCAAAGGCAACTGCTACATTGGATCGAGGCCTGTAGCCTTCTCGGGATATTAAGGGATGTCGTCTCCGGGATCAATGAGGCCCAGCGAAAGCTCAGGGTGAGCGCCCTTTACTCTCGAGTATAGCTCGTGCATCTAATATTCTGAGCAGGATTTTGACGATGATCGAGCGAGAGACATCATTGTTCTGCTCAATGACTGCGAACGACTGGTTGTCGGCTACTTCCCTGCCATCAGCAGCTCGGCACTACAACTATACTACTCGATTGTATCATTCATCCCGACGAAGACCGTGCTTTCACGGACGTATGTGCACGAATGTCTCCCGGAGAGCTCTATCAAGGCTTTTGGCAGTGTGCCAGGCATGTGGAACGCTTGCTTGGGCACAGTCACTGCACATGAAGGCAGTTATGTCTGGGCTGTGGACTTTCCACTTGATGGCAGGACAGTTGCCTCATCAGGAGATGACGGTAAGATACGCATTTGGGACGCACTGACATGCGCCCTGCTGTCGGTCCTCTCCGGTCATTCTCACCGGGTTTGGTCTGTCAAGTACTCTTCGGACGGCGCTCGCATAGCTTCTGCTGCCGCAGACAGAACGGTCAAGATTTGGGACGCAGTGTCCGGCGTGCTCGTCCGCACCCTGGAAGGGCACATGGGCTGGGTCCGCTGCGCAGTCTTCACACCCGACGGCGGCCGTATCGTGTCTGGCTCCGATGATCATTCTATCAAGATCTGGGACACGGAGACAGGTGCCTGTTTGGCGACTCTGACCGTGCACAATCACGAGGTCAAATCCATTGCGGTGTCCCGGGACGGCCGTTGGATGGCGTCAGGCTCGCTCTTTCAAGTCTGTCTGTGGAGCCTGGAAGCGCCGGCATACACTCATCGTGTCGTGGCAACTCCCAAAGGCGAATGCTTCCCTTTTGATGCTGCTACCTTCACGCCAGACAGCTCCCAGATTTTGATCGCATCGTACATCTTTGGCAACAAGTCGGGGAAGTTGTCGGTCTGGGATGTCGAGACCGCGAAGCACCTCCGCGACCTCCGGCCATCAGGCCAGTCATTCAAGGAGACCAGCAAGCCCAGCTTTCTTTCAACAGGAGACATGCTCGTCTGTGCAGCGGATAACACTGTCCTCGTCTGGGACTTTGCTCGCGGCGAGGTTCGACAAGCATTCTCCGGTCACACCGAGGATGTCACGAGTGTCGCCTATAACCAAGACGGGACTCGCATCATGTCTGGTTCGATGGACGGCACTGTCCGGCTGTGGGACGTGACGCAACCCGAGCATACCAGAAGCCCATCCAACCTGTCCAGCGAGAGATCAATGGGCCACTCCTCAGTCACTTTCTCCCACAACGCGAAGCGTGCACTGCTGGTTTCCACCGACGAGTCCAGTACTAGTATCGAGGTGGCGAAGACGGATTCGTGGGGCCACGCATACAAGCCACTGCCCATACCCTTACTAGAACATCTCAACGTGCACCACATAGCGTTCTCACCAGACGATGCTACGATCCTTACCGCGTCATCGAGATATCATAGTTCGGTGGCTCTCTGGGACGCTGCTTCTGGGTCACCACGTCTCCAGCTTGAAGGCAAGCTGGACGTTGCGCGCCGGTCCTCTCCTTTCGAGTACACCTTCATGTGGAGCGATGTCTTGGGCTACATGCCTCACTGCTTCGGCTGCCAGTCGTCGACGCTAATGTTCTCGCAAGACAGCCGCTACCTGCTTATGCCGAATTTATCCACAACCGGAGACCATCATTCCGCTTGTCTCTGGGACGTTGTGACAGGCAAGCTCATTCGCGAGTTTGTCGGACATACGGATAGTGTCAGCTCCGTCGCCTTCTCGCTGGACGGCAGACGTATTGCAACGGGCTCCGACGATACGACTGTCATCATTTGGGATGCTGCCACCGGAGCATCTCTGGCGATATGTAGGGGCCATAAGTACCGGGTTGTCTCCGTCGCCTTCTCTCCCAGCGGAGAACGTGTCGCGTCCGGAGGCTATGACAATCTCGTTCTGGTGTGGAATGCAGACGGAGGGAGACTGACTCAGGAGCTGGAGGGGCACGCCTACCCGGCGTGGTCGGTTGCCTTTGCTCCCGCCGGGGACGTCATCATTTCCTCCCAGTCGTTCAACACCATGCGACTCTGGGACGCTGAATCAGGAGCCTGTCTCCTCGTCCTCGACCCACATACCTGGTACCGCACCCTGCACCTGTCCCCCGACGGCTCCGGAGTCCTGGTCGACGACAACAACCGACTTGTCCAGCTGTGGGCCCCTGTCGATGCGGATGCGCAAGTGACGACCCCTCTCCCATGGCTTCCGCGTCGCACCTGGCCTATATACTACATCGAGGACGATTGGATATTCTCTTTGACGCCGTCTCGGCGGACCCGGTTGTGTTGGGTTCCGCTAGGCTGGCAACGCGGGGGCATCGTGGGATACTGTGGGCACAATGTAGTGTTCAAGAGCGGGTACAGACTGAATTTCTCAGAATTGAATAGGTACCTGGGCAAATTGCACAGTAATCATACGTAATAGTGTATTCAGGATGCTGTACGCCTTCGTGCATAGATGGAGCATAGTTCCAGTAGTACAGGGATATGGTGTCTCTAAAGCAAATGTATCATAGATGTATGTCATACGTGCAAGTGGCACTACATAAATACTGTGACATTGGTCCACCTCATCTACGGTGAAAATCGCAGTGCAAGGACGCCCGCCAAGTGTGAGTCGTCACACAGCAAGGCCTACCGGCGGACGACGATAGCCAAGGAAAAAGTCACGAAGCGATGCCCCACGCGAACTCGACGCCGTTGGTCTTGCGGCTCTCGAGCGAGAGCGACCGGCGCTTGGTCTCGCCCTCGCCGATGGCGTTCAACTTCGTCGTCGCCAGTGTGGTGCGACGCACGATCGCGGGAAGCGAGAAACTGGTCGCGCTGCCATGCGATGTCTTCTCTGAGCCGCGCCGGCTGTGGCACGAATCGGCGTTCGCAGCAGACTGTGCGGCACCGCGAAACCCTCTGGCGTGCTCGTTGTGCTCGTTGTGCTTGCGTCGCGCCGGCCAGGCCTGTCGGCATTCTTCTCGTCTTCTTCGGGGTCGTCGAGTGCGCAAGGTAG